AAGCTACGCTGGGAATGTAATGTACACTATATTGCCAAAAGTATTGGGACACCCCTCCAAATCATTGGCTTCAGATGTTCCAATCAACTCCATGGCCACAGGTGTATAAAATCAAGCACCTAGGCATGCAGACTGCTTCTACAAACATTGGTGAAAGAATGGGTCGCTCTCAGGAGCTCAGTGAATTCAAGCGTGGTACTGTGATAGGTTGCCACCCGTGCAATTAAGTCCACATGTGAAATGTCCTTTCTACTAAATATTCCACGGTTGATTATAACAAAGTGGACGCAACTGGGAACAACAGCAACTCAGCCACGAAGTGGGAGGCCACGTAAAATGACAGAGCGGGGTCAGCACATGCTGAAGCACACAGTGCGCAGAAGTCACCAACTGTCTGCAATAGTTAAAGACCTCCAAACTTCAGATTAGCACAACAACAGTGCATAGAGAGAGCTTCATGGAGTGGGATTCCATGGCCGAGCAGCTGCATCCAAGCCTTACATCACCAAGTGCAATGCAAAGCATCAGATGCAGTGGTGTTATGTATGCCGCAACTGGACTCTAGAGCAGTGGAGACGTGTACTCTGGAATGACAAATCACGCTTCTCTGTCTGGCAATCCGATGGACATGTCTGGGTTTGTCGGCTGCCAGAAGAATGGTACTTGCCTGACTGCATTGTGGCAAATGTAAAGTTTGGTGGAGGGGGGATTATGGTGTGGGGTTGTTTTTCATGGGTTGGGCTTGGCCCCTTAGTTCCAGTGAAGGGAACTCTTAAGGTGTCAGCATACCAAGACATTTTGGACAATTTCATGCTCCCAACTTTGTGGGAACAGTTTGGGGATGGCCCCTTCCTGATCCAACATGACTGCGCACCAGTACACAAAGCAAGGTCCATAAATACATGGATGAGCAAGTTTGGGGTGGAGGAACTTGACTGACCTGCACAGAGTCCTGACCTCAGCCCAATAGAACACCTTTGGGATGAAATAGAACAGAGACTATGAGCCAGGCCTTCTCGTCCGACATCAGTGCCTGACCTCACAAATGTGCTTCTGGAAGAATGGTCAAACATTCCCATAGACACACTCCTAAACCTTGTGGACGGCCTTCCCAGAGGAGTTGAAGCTGTTATAGCTGCAAAGGGTGGGCCAACTCAATAATGAACCCAACAGACTAAGATTGGGATGCCATTAAAGTTCATGTGCGTGTAAAGGCAGGCGTCCCAATACTTCTGGCAATATAGCGTATATCCAGTGAGTGCAAAGCTTAAATGAGCTCAAAAAACACCATTATGAAGGAAGAGCATCCAAAAAAGAAAAAAAGGATGCTTTAAAACCAAATGGCTATCCACACAATGGATTTACTTTAGGCTGCAGTGCAAATAAAGGTACATAGGCACATATGGTTACAGTTTCAGACAGCCTAACCCTTCATCAGCTTCAAAGGTCACGGAAAACCTGTAACAGTGTACTTTGCAATTTGGTTGTGCAGCATGCTTTTCTCAGATATTATATGTCTGTGCGAGCTTTTCTGCTCCTTTTTACAATGCTGACTCACTGAAAACAATACACTCCCCATGTAACTGATATCTTGTCTCAACGGCTGTTAAGAAAAAAGTAGAATGCTAGCACTGCGCCTCCAGTGGCTGATCTACAAATCTTCATATTTAATAAAATTAAATTCTGAAACAGCAAGTATACAAACATATGAAAGTCATAGCAAGAGGATTCTATACTTGGTTTAACTACCCAGTCTTTAACGTTTTCCTTTCATACAGTCTGGAATTCTAGAGTACCTGGCTTGGTCACACAAGTGACACTACAACTTTACAACAATCAATGCCACAAGTCACTAAACAAGATGGCGAACAGTGACATGTTCTACAGTCCACTAAATGACAGGATCACAATGACAATTTCTAAATGAAAAAAAAAACATTTCACAGTACTGTACAAAACTAACATGTTCATCTAGCTAGAATATTTTACACAACCAACATCACAAGTTCTGGCTTAAAGCCACTATTTGATCTAAGTCTTCCAGTACAATAGATTGTGCACAGTTTTAAAATATAATGTGTAATTTCAGCACTTTACTTGTGGCTGCAGTCTTTTTCAAGGAGTAACCGATTGCTGATAGTCTGAAGTTTTAGATAGGGGATGCTCCAGCCTGGAAGTATTGTGTTTACTTCTTCCAGCCACCACTCAGATACTAGAGGAGCTGAACTGAAAAAGAGGTGGACTACTCATTATCTCAATACAAAGTTCACCTCGTCTTCCCTTTAGCTCTCTCAAGTCGTGCCTGCAAGTAGTTTCTGCAAGAAGACAGGGTAGACCAGCCTTTTTCAACCTTTTCATCACAGAGGGATCCTTGAAATACTCTTCTGGTCTCAGGGAACCCCTGCTAAAAACTACTACATATACACAACACATGACACGTTAGTGTGATGGTCAGTGGGAAGAATGCTCCATACCACTTATGGTCATTGAAAAGCATTACCCCCTACAGAAAGCAAAAACGTTCAATTGTGTTAGTGGGAACTTATCGGAGTGGCAGAAATTACTCATTGCTTAAGGAACTCCCTGCAACTTCTGGAGGAACCCTGGCTGAGGAACCCTGGAGTAGACCACCTAGTTCAGCCTTTCTCACCCCTTTTTTTTTTTACCCTGGAGGGACCCTTTAAATAATTTTGAGGTCTCAGGAAAACCGCTACTACTGTCATGGAAACATAACACAATCAGTAAGCTGCTGAAAGATTTAAAGTGGTTGTAAACCTCAGACATGAAATCTGAACAAAGCATATCTCTATAGTGTGTACTTGTCTCAATTAAGAACACTAAGTGTCATTTCTTTCTGCAGCTTTGTTCCTCTGCTATCAGCATGAGTCACTTCTGACAAGTTTCCCTGACACCAAGAGAAAAATGGTGACGCGGAGGTAGCTCCACCAGATTGACAGCATCGGCTCTGTTCCTGTAAGCTGTGTCCCTTCCTTTCAACTTGCTCTCCTCACTGAGCTCTGAGTGTAATTTCAGCTCTCCACCCCTTTTTTTCTGAACTCTCGACAAGCTTTATGTATTCATCACTTTGAACAGATATAGAGGAGAGACGATTGCAGATAGATAGGTAAAACCTATGCAGGAGGGTTTGTTTTCATCTCTGTGTATGACCTGAAGCCAGTCACTTCACTGTGTATATGTAAGTGTTTACAATCACTTTAAATAAAAGAAGAATTTTGCATACTTGGAATATATGACACCCAGAACCAATTTATTTTTAACAGCATTCTCTTGTTCTACACATCAAAAATGATCATGAAAATATATAAATAATAATGGGCAGAAAATACAGAATGTGAAAAAGTAGTGTTCTCTTACGCTAGGTCAGTGGAAAAGTATCCCCTTACATTGGTGGTCAGTTGTAAAAAAAAAAAAAACCCACAAAAAAAGCCCACTTGCAGTGGTGAACAATGTAGATGTGGTGATCAACGTAGATGAGGTGATCAACGTAGATGAGGTGATCAACATGTGTAGATGAGGTGATCAATGTAGATGAGGGTGATCAATGTAGATGAGGTGATCAATGTACATGTGGTGATCAATGTACATGTGGTGATCAATGTACATGTGACCCCTTGCAATACATATCAGTGGGAAATTGTTCCCTTACATTGGTAGTTAATGTAGTCTGGAAATCAGTCTGTCATTGCTCACTGCTCGGGGAACTCCTAGCAAACTCAGTCTAGAGGAATCCTAATTGGGAAAGCCTGCTCTAATTCCAGACTGGAGCACCCATTGTTTGAAACTTCTATTTATAAGTAAAAAAGTCATCCCTTGCAAAAGGAAACTGCTGGGACAAATGAGGATAAGTGCGGAAAGTTCACTTATTAATTTTTATAATGGTCAGCACTCCCAAAACTGAAATTTATTTTGAATTAGATGCCAGAGGGCTTCATCATCCACCCTTTTATATATCTATTAGGATCTTTCTGATCAAGCTCTCTGTACCCAGTACTGTCCATCTGGAGTTTCATTCCTAAGGATTTCATTAGCTCAGTGTCCATTGCATGTAGAGGTCAAAAGAAGAAAACCCAGTGGGGAGAGCTTACTGTTGGAACTACAAAGAGATATAAAGATTTAGTGGTTGATTGAAGCCATCTTTACCTGCCCATAACTGGAAAGTCAGTTCTGAACAGACTGGCTCTTTAAAGGCCCAGTCACCACTCCAAGCCTATTAAGATGAAGAAGTTATGTTACGGAACTTACAATACAAAAGCTGTGGCTGCCTTTTACTTCTGAGAAATGTGCCCTGCATACACGTCCAGAATTTCTGATGTGCCAACGACACTTTGCAGAAGTGCTCTGGGCAGAAGCCTGGCGTGATCTGCACAGACTGTCTTTACAGATCACATAAGGTTTCTCCAGTCGCTGCCTGGAGCAGAGGTGACGTCAGAGCTGGGGAGGAGGAGCCGTTGCCTCAGGCTGAAACAGCGATCTTCAAACACTCCGGCAAAGTGTTGTAGGCACAGTGGAACATCAGATGTGTTTTCAGAGCACTTCTATCAGAAATACTTAAAAGAAAGGCAGCCACAGCTTTTGCATTACAAGTGAGTTAACAAAACCTTTTCATCTTAGTAGTCTTGAAGAAATGACAGGTTCTCTTGAAACAACAAGCACTAACACATTATTCACTTCACCACTGAATACCAAAGGGATACAGTTATAGTACTGAAAAAAAATACCTTTTACAAATGTATTATACACCACTATATTAAAAATGTTTTTTTTTTTTGTACTTCTGTCAAGATTTAAAAAAGGAGGGTAAGTAAAAACTGCCCTGTAAACGTTTGTGTGATAAAGACATATACGGTAGTGTAATCCCAGCTGTGTGCGCTACAGGCGGAACCTAGAACCAGTTTTGTATTGGATGTAGAGTTCACGGGGAACTTGGTTTATTCTAGAGTAGAATAGAAAGTTTGTGTCTTGTATGCATGGCGCGTTTCTTAGTTTTGTTGCCTGCGTTTTGCAGATCTCATTTTTTCAAAGCGCGACTCCATTTCTTCCAAGACTCGCGGGGTGTACCGGACCACCAGTTTTACCTTGCCTTGTGCGGCTTTTAGGAGCTCCACTGCTTTTTCGTGATGTTCACCCTCCACGCTCTATGAAAAAGAAAAATATGATGAGCATTCATACTTCAAAATCAGAAAATATAGCACAATATAGAGAGTTAGTAAGCATTTCTTTACTGATGTTATTTCTTCCATTTTATAAAGGTCCAATATTGATAGCTTGACTAAAGGTGGATCCTTGTGGGCTGCTTCAGCCCCTGGCCTATTATATGTCTGCAGGCAAAAGATTATGCAATTTTCTTTTCTTCCACCATGGGTGAAAGAAAGAATGACGGAACAGAACGAAACGGGAAAGAGAGAAAGAAAGAGAGAGAGAGGGAAAGAGGGGGAAGGAAGGGGGGGGGGGGGGGGGAGTGAGGAGAAATAGGGAAAAAGGAAAAGGAAAAAGGGAGAAAGAGACAGAGAGAAAGAGAGAGATAAAGGGAGAGAGGGGGGGGGGGAAGAGAGAGGGGGAGAGAGAAAGGGAAAGAGAGAGAAAGGGAAAGACAGAGGGGGGGGGGGGGGGGGGGAGAGGGAGGGGGGGGGGGGGAGAAAGGGAGAGGGGGGAGAGAAAGGGAAAGAGAGAGAGAAAAGGAAAGAGAGAGAGAAAGGAAAGAGAGAGAGGGGGGTGACAGAAAGGGGTGGGAGAAAGGGAGATAGAGGGGGAGAGAGAGAGAGGGGGGAGGGGGAGAGAGAGGGGGGGAGGGGGGGGAGAGAAAGAGAGGGGGAGGAGGAGGGGGGAGGGGGAGAAAAGAGAGGGGAGGAGGGGAGAGAAAGAGAGGGGAGGAGGGGAGAGAAAGAGAGGGGAGGAGGGAGAGAGGGAGAAGAGGGGTGAGAGGGGAGGGGGAGAGAGAGAGGGAAAGAGGGGGGGGGGTAAGAGAGAGAGAGGAGGGGAGAAAGGGAAAGAGGGGGGGGGGGGGGGGGTAAGAGAGAGAGAGAGAAAGGGAGGGAGAGAGGGAGAGAGAGGGAGGGGGAAAGGGAAAGAGAGGGAGAGAGGGGGGGGAGGGAAAGAGAGAGAGAGGGGGGAGGGAAAGAGAGAGAAAGAACGTGAAAGAGAGAGAACGGGAACGAGAGGGAAAGGGAGAGGGAAAGGGAGAGAGAAAGGGAAAGGGAGGGAGAGGGAAAGGGAGAGAGAAAGGGAAAGGGAGAGAGAAAGGAAAAGGGAGAGAGAGAAACTTGATTCCCTCATCAATAGAGTCAGTGTTGATGGGGGAATCCCTTCCACAGGCTATTGTGTCCTGCCACCGGGGGAGCCTTCCCTGACGGCAGAACACAATGATTAATGTTGCAGGCAATAGCAGCAATTGTTCAAGAAAAACCCAACAGGCTGGTTGTACACAAGGCAATCAATAAACACCCAGTGCACAATCAGGGTGCCCATACATGGAACGAAATTTAGACAGTTCACCCGATCCGGCTTTAGACAGGCCTCTCTAGATCTTAGAGAGTTCTCTCTGCCATAAGATGCCTTCGTTCCTGTCCATCTGAGAGTTTCTGCCTTTGTGTGTTTCAGCACCTCCTTCTGCATTCTGATAATAAAACAAATAAAACTAATTAGCGAAAGAGGGAACTCCTCATTACGGTCACACTAGGTGTGCATACCCTAGAACACAAGCGCATATCACTCCCCACTAGAAGCCCCCAGAAATATAAAACACACTCTCAGCTGGCTTGGTAGGTAACCAATGGTGCAGGTTTTTAAACCTGTTCTGATCACCATTATTCCTGAACTGCGAGAGCGCTTGGCCATCCTTCCCCTCTGAATAGTCATAAACATGAATGTTCAGCCAAGCAGTGATGTTTCTACAGAAGATAGCAATGCCTGAGCGTGGAACAATCATGTCTATTTGGCTCCTTAAGACATTCAGAAAGCTTATTTATCAGCCTGCAAAAGACCTGTTTGTGCTGGCAACAGCAAGCAGCCAGTTTAGGACACAGAAAATAGATTAAAGCTAAACTCCTGACAAACAGATAAATTCATATGAGGTCCATGCTTTACCTGCCAAATGATTTCTATTTCTATCCATTTCTGAGATTTACAATGCTCTGCCAAACAGCAGAAACTGCCTGGAAACTTGGCCTTGCCCTGCTGCTGCTAGCTAATACAACTAGGTCTTGTCCCTCACCCATGCCTGTGACCAGATAGTGATGGAGAAGCATCAGACTGGCAAGATTATTTCTATCTCTGCTCTCTCCTCCTATCAGCATGCTACCTGTCAGCACATGAGCACTGCAGCACAACTGACTGGCTCCTTTTGCTGCTTCACCTTCCCCAAATCTGAGCTCTACATATGAGGATCTGATACAGAGGAGAGTAATAGCCTTTTGGCCCTGTGTGGGTCAGTGTGGGGAGGTGAGCAGGCACTGCTACCATTTGAGGATTTGTGCACTAGAAGTGAAGATCACGTTTCACTTGCATGGACTTTTTTTATTTTTGATTATTCACAGATGGTGTTTCTATATTTGTGTGATTCACAGTTATATGATAATATAATTTGACTGAACATTATATATGCACATGGTATTGTTGTCATCACCATTTCACTTTAAGATTGTGCAATTCGCACTGATGTATATATGTCAGGGTGGATAAAAATCAATGATTTTTTTAAAATAATCAAAAAAATCGGATTTGTTTTTATTTAAATCGGATTTTATTTATTTAAATCAGATTTTTTTAAATAAAATGCTTTTTGAGGAAAATATATTACCATCCAAAGGTTATTCCATCATGAAATAAAGATTAGTTTTTTAATTATGTAGAATAAGGCTGTATGTTTAATATTTTTGGTAAATAAATTCCATGAATCCATTCACAATGTCATGCTCTTCCAGAGGTTTTTGTAAGATTATTGGGACAGTTTCTCTGCCTACAAGATATTATCACAGATGATTGGTTTACTTTTGCAGTTCTCAAAACTGAATTTGACTCAGTGGAGATCACATGCCTCTAGCATCACATGCCCTTCTTCACAGCAAAAATGTTATAACATGAACAGAGTTAAGAAAAAGACCTTAATCCTAACTTCTACAAACCTATGAATACAGAATCAACCCCTTCAGTGCTAAGTTTCAAGACGTTCAGTGAATAGAATCAATATTTTTCTGATTGTTTGGAGTGGAATAGATCTGCACAAGAAGAAAGTGAAACGAAGTGTGAGGAGGAAGGGGCTGACAGTCTAAGGTTCTTAAAATATATATATTTTGTTTAGCCAAATTAGTTAAACATGGATGTTTGTTTAAGCAAATAACATATGCTGGAATGTTATTGTTTCAGTTGAATAAATCTATTTAAATTGTTATTATTAAGGTAATGATTATTTTTCTCCTTCCTAAGTACAACAGAAAAGTTGTCCAAATATGAATGATTAACCAATTAAACTGGGGATAAAAAAACTAACATGAAAAGTTGTTCATCCAAAAAACTTCATCTACTTGCATATTAAAGTTATACCAGCAAGAATTAGTCTATGTAGAAAACTAGGATTTAAATCAAGCCTTACTGACTAGTGATTTAAATCGTAAATCCACCCTGATATATGTATATGAGCTTTTTCTCACAGAGCACTAGTAGTTATAATAGGCACTTCAGTATTTATTTATTGGTAACAAATATACAGCGCTTCACTAATTTATGTTAAAGCATTAAAGGATAAGTTCAACAAAAAATAATAAAAGCACATTTATTGCAGGTAAAAAAAAAAAATGTGTGTATTTTCTATTTTTGGAGCCTGGAAAGCATTGCACCAGCTATCAGCAGATTGCATGTGCCATGCAGGTTTCCTGCAGACCTGTCAGTGTAATCTGTCTGCTCATTACACTGACAAGAAGACTCAATGAACTACCACAGAGCTCAACAGCACCGAGGTTGTTCATTAGGAACTACAAGCCAATATCCGAAAATGTTGTCAAGACATTCAGCTCTGTGAATGGATGACGCAGCCGGGTGGGCGTCAGGGGGAGAAGATCACCCCCTACCCCCCCCCCCCCCCCAGCTTCCACAATGGGGGATTGAGGGGGGGTTTGAGGGAGGTGCAGGGGCTGGTACAATTGTAACATGTTACACCCTGAATATGGGTTTAACATGTTACAAAACTTATCCTTTAACGTTTATGCCAATATTGTTCTGAAGAATCATTTTTTGGGAGTGAGATCCTCGGACACCCCATTCCATAACCATGTCCATGTTATAACTGGTTGCTAAAGACCAATGAAACAACTCTGCAGACAATAAAAAGAGGCCCACTGGACCCCTAAGCGTTAAGGAAAAGAGTATCTTCTTACCACCCCATTCACGGAGAGAAGCTGGTCCCCGCGCTTCAGTGAGCCTTGTCTGTCTGCAATTCCACCAGGGATAATGCGGGAAATATAAATGGGAGAGTTTTGCTCCTTTCCTCCCATTATGTTGAATCCAAGACCTTCTTCTGTTTTGGGGAGTTCAACAACCCTGGGGTGCGAATGGCCCTCGCTTGCGGCAAACGCAGCTACAGTAGCCTAGGAGATAAAAGGGTAATTTTACTTACAGCTCAAAAAATAAAAATCACTTCACTCCTGAGCAGAATTCAGCAAAGGATGGCATGGAGGGGTAAACTGCAGGTTAAGCGTACACTATATTGTCAGAAGTATTGGGACCCCCCTCCAAATCATTGGATTCAAGTGTTCCAATCACCTCTATGGCCATAGGTGTATAACATCAAGCACCTAGGCATGCAGATTGCTTCTACAAACATTTGTGAAAGAATGGGTCGCTCTCAGGAGCTCAGTGAATCCAAGCGTGGTACCGTGATAGGTTGCTACCTGTGTAATAAGTCCATCTGTGAAATTCCCTTGCTACTAAATCAGGGCTCAAAATTTCAAGTTGTGAGCTACTAGCCAGGCCTTAAGAGTTGCTCGCCACCAGTTGCCCCACCCAACCCCTACCCTGGCCTGCCCCTAAACATGCCCTCGTAAATTATCTCATGAAATGACACGGTTAAATGTTACCCACATTACATCAGGGTCCCCAGAGTCCCCCCCACATTACATCAGGGTCCCCAAAGTTACCCCACATTACATCAGGGCCTCCAATATCCCCCTAAGCACTACACCATACCTTAGATCATGCACCGCATACAACTGTAATTTCTCACTCACCAAACCATAACTCTACCAAACATATCCTACCTTCTATCCAACCCAGCAATACCTCATATGCTCCATCCTCGAACACCCATAATAACCACATCATCCTGAACCTGACCAAACCACCCATACACGTATGCTTAAACACACACATACAGACATGTACACACTCACACACAGAAACAAGTACACACACATGTACTATCTCTTCAGGGAAGCCTATCCTGCCCTCAGCTACTAATGGAATCTTCTACTCTTCCAACCAGTCCATCCCCCACAGTTACTACCTTTTGTACCACTAGCCCCTCCCTCCTAGATTGTAAGCTCCAAGGAGCAGGGCCCTCCTATCCCTCTTGTATTGAACTGTATTGTTGCTGTATTGTCTCCCGTTATATTGTAAAGCGCTGAGCAAACTGTTGGTGCTATATAAATCCTGTATAATAATAATGTACATACACACAAACGTATACACACACAGACATATGTACATACACGTGCACACAGATACTCACACACACAGATACATGTACATACACACATACTTACACAGCCCTATAAAAATTGCAGTACAGTACTTCGTTACCTTCACTCACAGAGCTGGGTACTGCACTCTAGGGGGAGGCAGAGAGCACAGCACATACTCCATCCTTTGCTTTCACTTTCCTCAACTACTAAGCAGTCTGACGGCTCCCAGTGTGAGTGACGGAGCCAGCCCTGAGTTCCGAGCCTGCTCAGTGAGATGGCCCTGGGGGACACACTCACCCCTCTCATTTCCATTTGCCAATGTGAGGAGGCGAGTGTAAAGTTCAAGGCCTGTACTAAATATTCAACAGTCAACTGTTAGTGGCATTATAACAAAGTGGATGCAACTGGGAACAACAGCAACTCAGCCATGAAGGGTTAGGCTACGTAACATGACAGAGCGGGGTCAGCACATGCTGAAGCACACAGTGTGCAGAAGTCGCCACCTGTCTGCAGAGTCAATAGCTAAAGACCTCCAAAATTCATGTGGCCTTCAGATAAGCACAACAACAGTGCATAGAGAGCTTCATGGAATGGGTTTCCATGGCCGAGCAGCTGCATCCAAGCCTTAGATCATCAAGTGCAATGCAAAGTGTCAGATGCAGTAGTGTAAAGCACGCCACCACTGTTCTCTAGAGTGACGAATCACGCTTCTCTGTCTGGCAATCAGATGTACATGTCTGGTTTGGCAGTTGCCAGGAGAGAAGTACTTGCCTGCATTGTGCCAAGTGTAGTTTGGTGGAAGGGGGATTATTGTGTGGGGTTGTTTTTCAGGGGTTGGGCTTGGTCCTTTAGTTTAGGAAACTCTTAAGGGGTCAGCATAACAAGACATTTTGGACAATTTCATGCTCCCAACTTTGTAGGAACAGTTTGGGGATGGCCCCTTCCTGTTCCAACATAACTTCGCACCAGTGCACAAAGCAAGGTCCATAAAGACATGGATGAGCGAATTTGGGGTGGAGGAACTTGAATGGCCTGCACAGAGTCCTGACCTCAACCTGATAGAACACCTTTGGGATGAATTAGAGCGGAGACTGTGAGCCAGGCCTTCTCATCTGACATCAGTGCCTGACGTCACAAATACACTTCTGGAAGAATGGTCAAACATTCCCATAGACACACTACTAAACCTTGTGGACAGCCTTCCCAGAAGAGTTGAAGCTGTTATAGCTGCAAAGGGTGGGCCAACTCAATATTGAACCCTACGGACTAAGACTGGGATGCCATTAAAGCTCATGTGCGTGTAAAGGCAGGCCGACCAATACTTTTGGCAACATTGTGTATATGGTGCTTTTCAATATATAACTGTATGCTACTACTGCCATCTAGTGGACAGATGGTATTATTATTTTTTTCTACTCCTTAAAAGTTGAGTTCTAGTTGTCAAAAAATAGAATTCAGCAACTACAAAAAACTGCAGCTGCTGAGTTTTAAAAAACAGCCACTTACCTGTCCATGGTCCAGCGGTGTCCTCCCCGCAGCCTGTTTCACCAGCCATCTGGTGTTCCAGGTGCCGGCACCTTCAGTGTGGACACCTGGGTGTGACAGCTTGCGCCTTCACAGCCAGGTACCCACTGAGCATGCGCGAATAGCGCTGAGCTTCCTGAATGGTCCCGTAGTCTTCTGGGACCGGTCACGTGTCCCAGAAGACTATGGGGAGGGAGGAAGAGAGGACAACTTCTGTTTAGGATCGCCTAGGCGATCTCAGTGGAAGTGGGAACTGTCAAATTAGGGTACCCGCTCCCCAAGGGTGCCAATCCTTAATGGGGAGCGGGGGACCAGTCTTTAAAGCGGAACTTCCCCTTTTGGGTGGCGCTCCTCTAACCAAAAAGTGTGAAATGTCCCATGTATGATTAGCCTGGTCCCCTCTGAACATTCAATACAATGAGCTGTTGCCCATGCTTCATTTATGTCAGAACATAGGTGGTTCTAGAATACTGCAGCTATTCAAAAATACCATCACTACTTCACATTTCCTTCATGCCCACCACTCTAGTTGGCTCCTAAGAATAAAGAGAAATATCCAATACTGAAAACAAGGGGAGCATTTTACCCACTTGACAGTGCTAGTACTTGGTGATTGGCTGCTCCAGCACCCAGGATTGTCACATGGGGGCAAGGATAGGATTCTTAGCCCTGTGTAAGCTCCACGTCCCAGCTTGAAGCCTTCACATGCCTAGATGTAGTTATTCCCAGAAGTTGAATTGAGCAGTGAGGGAGCAATGAGACGGTTAGTATAAGCTGCTGGTAGGGCTACCATGCAGGGTAAAGTGACAGACCCCTTAGACTCACCTTTTCAGCATTCCCACTATACTCCTTTCTCCTTTGCAGCCACTCCAATACCTGCCAGGTCCAGGAAATGGTGTAGTGGAGCAGGCGACCTCTTTTCCTCCTTGCCAGATCAAATAGACAATCACTAAGCCTGAGCACTGTCACTTTATCTGGGGAATAATGCATATATTTGCCAGCACACCATGCATCATCAAATGTCATCCAAAGTTTTTAATGCACAAAGATCACATCACAGAGGACCAAGAGCAATGTTTCGGAGCTGTAAGAAACCTCTTCATCAAGCATGTGTGTCTCAGACCTAAAGAAGGGGTCCTGTGGGGCTCAGAAATGGTGCACTTGGTCCTTTGTGATGTGATCTGTCTGCAATAGAAGGTGTGTTGGTGAATATATGCACTGATCCGTGATGAGCCTAGAGTCCAGCTGGTAATTGTTGTAGCACCTGCTACTGACAAGTAATTGTCTGTAAAATGCAATGCAATATGGCAACCTGGAGGCCTTTTGTACACAGATGGTGAACAGAACGACCCCCCAGAAATGTAATTTCCTGTTTGTGTGATTGGCTCACTGATTTTCTCAGAAGGCTGCACTAAGATAAAGTAAGATTTCTGGTATACCCTGCAAGAAAAAAAATTCATTTTTGGTGAGATATTCCCAAAGGGAAATCACATCTAAAGGAATGCAGACCCTGCCGCTTTCCTCATTAGAGCCCTGAAAGAGCACCAGCTGATTAATAATTATAAAATCGCTTCCATTCACATTCATTCTGCATATTGACAAAGACAAACAAACCGCTCTTTCAGAACAAAGGGTAGGAATCTTCAAAAAAAATTTGGTAAAAGCTCTAATGTACATCAGAGGGAATTTTTTTTTTTATCGACAAAAGTGGAATTACTCTTTTAATAACCCACATATGCTCCTAAACTTTGTTTATGTTTTTTAATGTTTACATATGTATCTGTAATTGTTTTTAATTATGAATTTGTAGTATAATTATATATATGTAATTCAAGACAATAAAACAATAATAAAAAAAGGTAATTCTATAAAAAGCATTATAAACAATGTATTCATTTTTGGTCATTTTGTTCTTGGAGGAATGCTGTCATTCAACAAAGCCCATCTACTGTATGCTGCCTTTCCATCCAAAGAAAACCTGTCATTCAGTTCTAGCAGACTAATCAGCCATCAGAATCACAGGATGCCCTTGCACCTACATATAAAGTAGCAGCACAAGGTCGGTGAAAAGGATCTGCAATAACATATAAGTCATCTAAACAGAAACAGATTTGGGTAGAGGAGAATTGTCATGTGAAAAAACGAATGATGGACCTTACCTTTGCTGTTGCGTTGGCTCTCACCTCTGGGCTACTGTTGATATCCACAGTCTCATATACATGTTCATAGACCTTAAACAATTAGGACAATATTATCAACTGTGCTTTCTTCCCAAAACTCTTCATACAAACACTAAATATATATATATATATATATATATTTGTTTTACAATTTCTAAAGGTAACCTGTCAGGTTTCTAAGAGAGTAATTCTACGGCCAGTCCATACTCACTGCGGCCCCCAGTCATCCAGGAGTATAGACTGAGCCAAAGGAATGAATAGGGCCAATGATGAGCATAAGCACTTGGACATGAACGGGAGTTTTTGCAGCAAAGGCTTTGGACTGCAGGGCCAGGCCCGCATAGTGGAGATGTCAGGAGCAGAGATGAAAGTATTTTACTACACAGCATCCACTGAGGGGTGGGGGCAAACATTACCCTTTAAAGTGTCTCTAAAGGCAAAACTTTTTTCATTTTGGATAGAGTAAGGGAGGGTTATAATCCCTGTCAGGTTTTTTTTTTTGCCATTTCTTTTATGATGTACATTTGACATTATTGTCATCTGTGAGTATAATACTTATTGTTTTTATCAATAAAAGGTTTTCAGGTCATGCACTAGGCCTGTGCGCCCTCTGTTTGTTTTTCTTTGCAACCATTTCACGTCTGACTGCCTGTTTGTGGTATTATAGTAAACAGTTCAGCAATGCTCTTTGCACTGCTGGATAAGTCTTCATATGTACGTCTTTAACAGTGAAGACTCAGTATGCTCACCTCTCTGACAGCATTACAGAAATCACTCTGCAGGACTCTCTGCAATGCATGAAGCTTGTGTGGGGGAACCTCACCACTTCTCTGGAGCTTCTCCAGCAGCTCAATAGCCCTTGAGATATCTGAAAAGAAAACAGCTTATGTTAGACTTTAAATGTAAAACAGTGATTTTTGCAGCGTGAACGTTTCATGATGACTGTACCTCATCTGTAGCTGTCTTAAAGGATAAGTTCACCTTTGTTAACCTATTACATGTTGTACCCTAAATACGGGTGTAACATGCTACCAGAGAGCACCTGTATGCTCTCCTCCAATTCCCATCTCCTCTCTATACCCACTGTCAAAATTTAAATAGAGCGCGGAAATGCAGGGCTCCACCCACAAGGCCACATCATTCATTCACAGTGCGAGGTGAATGAATGAACTACAACTACCATCTCAGTAGACAACCTGTAGTTCCCAATGAACGTCAAGGGCGATGGTGAGCACTCTTGTAGTTCACTGATTTTCCTGCTACAGTAACTGTCTGCCCGTATGGGAAGGTATGGCCAGACAGGTATACGGCGATGTGGGAGGTACGACCAGACAGGTATACTAAGATACGGGAGGTACGACCAGACAGGTATACTAAGATACGGGAGGTACGACCAGACAGGTATACTAAGATACGGGAGGTACGACCAGACAGGTATACTAAGATACGGGAGGTACGACCAGACAGGTATACTAAGATACGGGAGGTACGACCAGACAGGTATACTAAGATACGGGAGGTACGACCAGACAGGTATACTAAGATACGGGAGGTACGACCAGACAGGTATACTAAGATACGGGAGGTACGACCAGACAGGTATACTAAGATACGGGAGGTACGACCAGACAGGTATACTAAGATACGGGAGGTACGACCAGACAGGTACTAAGATACGGGACTAAGATACGGGAGGTACGACCAGACAGGTATACTAAGATACGGGAGGTACGACCAGACAGGTATACTAAGATACGGGAGGTACGACCAGACAGGTATACAGAGATACGGGAGGTACGACCAGACAGGTATACAGAGATACGGGAGGTACGACCAGACAGGTATACTGAGATACGGGAGGTACGACCAGACAGGTATACCAAGAAATGGGAGGTACGGCCAGACAGGTATACAGTGATACGGGAGGTACGGCCAGACAGGTATACAGAGATACGGGAGGTACGGCCAGACAGGTATACCAAGATATGGGAGGTACGGCCAGACAGGTATACCAAGATATGGGAGGTGCGGCCAGACAGGTATACCAAGATATGGGAGGTACGGCCAGACAGGTATACCAAGATATGGGAGGTACGGCCAGACAGGTAAAAAAACACAATGTATATGGTGCTGAGAAGTAACAAGCAACACCATAACATATGGATACAACATTAGTAAAAAGACCATAAAATTGTCAGCTGGCATGGCTGCAGCTATGGGAACAGCTTGCATGTTTCACCCTAAAAACGGGTGGAACATGTAACATGTTCCCAAAGGTGAACTTATCCTTTAAAGCTGAACTCTAGGCAAACAGCTGGATACACAGATGAAATACTGATAGGGAAGCTCTTCCCTACTCTACCTGAACTCAGGACTCCCAAGACTCCTCTGTCACACAGTAGAACCAGAAGGATGACACCACTTTTTCTGTTGAATCGATTGTAAAGCTTTATTTTGTTTTTAATTAAAATAACAAACATGTAAAAAAAAAAAAAAAAAAAAAAAAAAAAAACTTACCTGCTCTCTGCAAGGGTTTTGGTCTTCTCAGGTCCCCTGCTGGTGCTTCTGTCCCCTCTACCCCTGCTGAGTACCCCCACAGCAAGCCACTTGCTGAATGTCCATAAGACATGCAGAGCCCGGCTCGGCCCTGCTCCATTCTCACTGGCTGCTGCTGTTTCTCAGCCAATGACAAGAGAGAGACCCAGGAGAGCCAAAGCTCTTGTGCACAGTACTGGATCATAATCAGACTTAGGTAAGTATTGGGGGGGGGGGGGGGCTGCACACTGAAAATAGAATGCATAAAAAGGTAAAAACCTTCAGCCTCTACAACCACTTTAAAAATGAACCAAACTGGAAAAACAAATTTGCTACTAGGCAGAGTTTTCTGGTAGCAGACACTTTTTAATCCTCTTCTACCGAAAATATTGCTTTACCTGTCAGCAGGCATCTGTAAGGATGTGCAAGAAACCAAAATAACAATGGAAAATCCACACACTTGACAGACTTTCAAGGTACCCAGGTAGACATACAGTATGTTTAAAAAAAAAATATCACATCTTATTGAGAGGCGGTTCACACTGATGCGAATTCTATGCGGATCAGATGTGATCCAAAACGCATAGATTAGGCTGTTCTCATATATGTGGTGTGAATTTGATCCGGTCCAAAAAAAGGGTCCTGTGCAAGTTTAGTGCACCTGTGGTGGCAAATTTCATTAGTGGGGCACTATTCCTACCACTGACAACAATGGGGCACTATTCCTCCCACTGACAACAATGGGGCACCACTTCTCCCACTGACAAACAGTGCAAACTATTTGACAAGCAATGGGGCACCTCCTGCTATGCCCAGTAGTGGGGCACTATTCCTCCCACTGACAACAATGGGGCACTATTCCTCCCACTGACATCAACATTGGGGCACTATTGTTCCCACTGACATCAGCAATGGGGCACTGTTGTTCCCACTGACATCAGCAATGGGGCACTATTGTTCCCACTGACATCAGCAATGGGGCACTACTCCTCCCACTGACATCAACAAGGGGCACTACTCCTCCCACTGGGGCACCATCAGCAAATGGGGCACTACCTACTCCTCCACACATCAGCAATGACATCAGCAATGGGGCACTACTCCTCCCACTGACATCAGCAATGGGGCACTACTCCTCCCACTGACATCAGCAATGGGGCACTACTCCTCCCACTGACATCAGCAATGGGGCACTACTGACCTCCCACTCCTCCCACTGACATCAGCAATGGGGCACTACTCCTCCCACTGACATCAGCAATGGGGCACTACTCCTCCCACTGACATCAGCAATGGGACACTATTCCCACTGACACTGACATCAGCAATGGGACACTATTGTTCCCTCTGACATCAGCAATGGGACACTATTGTTCCCACTGACATCAGCAATGGGACACTATTGTTCCCTCTGACATCAGCAATGGGACACTATTGTTCCCACTGACATCAGCAATGGGACACTATTGTTCCCACTGACATCAGCAATGGGATGTTCCCACTGACATCAGCAATGGACACTATTGTTCCCACTGACATCAGCAATGGGGCACTATTGTTCCCACTGACATCAGCAATGGGGCACTATTGTTCCCACTGACATCAGCAATGGGGCACTATTGTTCCCATGGGACACTATGACATCAACAATGGGGCACTATTGTTCCCACTGACATCAACAATGGGGCACTATTCCTCCAACTGACAACAATGGGGCACTATTCCTCCCTCTAACACCAAAAGATGTGGCAATGTTTACTCCCACTGACACCAGGACATTTTCAACTCCTTGTGGCCACAGTCCGGCCCCTCTAACATTTGAAGAACAGTACACTGGCCCTTCATATAGAAAGTTTGTAGACCCCTGCCTTAGAAGAAACAACTGGAAAAGAAAAAAAAAAAGAAAAAAGCAAAATACATAAAGCAGACAGGAGAACTGCAAGGTGCAATATACATAACCGGAGCCCGCGGGGAAGGTATAGCGGCCACTGGTCTTATAAAACATTAAATCAGGGTGAGGGAGAAGGCAATCGTTCAATATCTGATGTGATCATTGAACAGACTACAGAATAAGTGATTGTAAAAGATCTCATTCACAATAGTGGTTTATTATTTCTGCCTGTAGTTCTGGATAGGAATATTGTTTAAATAAAAGACAATGCTTTCTATGATTCTGGAAATCTTATATAATTAGTGCAAACAAAGCACGCACAATTCCAGGAACAAACAATTGTTATCTTCTGTCATTAAAAAAAAAAAAAAAAAAACCTGACATCTGAGGCAAGATGATATGATAAGGGATTATATTAGGAGGAAATTCTGTGTTTGGTCCCCACAGTTTGTTCCTGTGTAAGATGATAGCCGATGATAGTCATCAAGTTTGTCTATTTGTTCCTGACCAGATGTTAGTCAACTCAAACACATACTGAAAAGCCTGTACTAAAATCTATCTAAGGCACTTGTTAGAAAAGCACAACTCCAGCCCCCCCCCAAAAAAAATTAAATGGTCCAATGAAATAAAAAATGACAAAACCAGTTTTTGCTGCAATTTTGACATTCAATCCAGACAGATGTCCTCAGTCTGATGGCCAGCATCATTCAACACACTTCCTTGGAGTTCAGGTAGTCCTGGAACTGCTCCAGCCTCTGACTGGACAGTGAAAAGAGAAGCAGTACTGTGACAAGCTCATCTCATCTCTGCTTTCTTCTCCTATCAACACGCTTCACATAAGCACATGCAATGTCTGGCTCCATGTGCTGCTTCTTCCTCTCACACTCCAGCCCTGCTGTACAGGGAATGCAACCAAAATCAGGTACTTCCACATTTCAAAGAGGAACTTCATCCTTACCTTGAAAATTACAGCAAAAGGCATCTTTAGAAATGTTTAGTAATGGCAATTTACAAGCAGATACCTATAGATATAAGCTTTTTATTCTTCACATACCTTACTTTTCTCCCCATTCTTCCCACAGTGGACATTTTCACTAACTTGATTCCATCTTTATTTGCTTCTCAGAAATCTGCCTAGAACTCCAGGTCTCCCTCCCAGAACAACTGACATTACACATCAGCTGAGGGGAAAGGCACTAGTGATGTAGCCTTCACAGGGTACATTTGTGAGGAGAAGAGGTGGCACACACACCTAGTGCATTATCCAAAGTTTATTGTAGGAATGAAATAATAAAAACATACTCACAGACGAAGCATGTATCTAAAAAGCATAGAAAAATGACAATGGCCACAACAGCGGGCAAAGGTGTTCTCACTGTCAGTGCGGTCAAATGGCCTCAGGGCATCAACAGCAAGGCTCTTTCTTTCCATACATCATACAT